GACAAGAATGAGAACAGGGCTGTCAAGTCTACAGCGCACCAGAGATGTTATTCTGAGAGTAAATGGCGCCCTGCTAACAACTAGGTTTGTTCATCTGTGACTCAGTAGGGAGTTGCACCAAAGCACCATGGACTTGTCTTCAAAAAGACTACCAGCTCAGCTCCTGAACAGCTTTTTATTTATTCATATGGTAGTGCCACTGTCCCGAAAGGAGCGAACAGCTTAAACCGTGTTCACGTTCCACAAACTGGAGCGTCAAAGCATAACAGCGACTCCCCAGTTCTGGTCGTGTTAAAACTCTGCACCCTGTCCTGATCTGAGGGAACGCCCGAGGACACCACACAGGGTCTACAGCGCCCGACGCACCGACAGGATCCGAGCGCGATTGTGCAAGGACAACCGGAGAAGAGGGGGGGAAAAACAAAAACAACTTTCTGCAGCTGCTGGGATTGGAACACAAAAAGTGTCTGGAAGCCCTGGATGACCTAGCTACTAGCTGCCATAAAGGATAAGTTGATTCTTCCTACTGTGTGAGCCTGAAAATGTGCAGTTAGAGGAAGCCCTTGAGAATTAGGTGTGTTGCTTTAATTCAGTTGTCATGGCTTGTCTCATTCGATGAGCTGATTCCACAATATGTTAAAAAATAATAATAATAATAAAAGGGCCACCAAAGGCAACCAACGCACCGGCGTCGCCCAAAATCACGTCGTATTAACACTATTAGAGGCAATTACTGCAAACTCACTGAACTTCTTAAAAAACACAAACACAAAACAGGAAGTACCTGCCTCACTGGAGTAACTCAGTAATGCTATGAAACACAGGACAAATCTCAAAACCACTAAACCATATAGTGCACTACGTTTTGTCGAGAGAACAGCGCTATATGGGTACAACAGTGTGTCATCTCAGAGTGCCTTACAGCTTTGCTGCGAGAGAGAAGGGTGGAAGACCAAAACCTAACAGAAACAGCACGAGCCGTTTCTTTTTTCTCTCTTTAAAAAAAAAAAAAAAAGTGGGGGGCGGAGGGTTACAGTGCAGAAAAAACTTAAAACGGGTCACCCAGACACCCTCAGACGAGCCGATTTAGCTCCTTTAACCGTACTGGACAAAAAACATTCTTGTGTGACATTAGAAAAAAGCCCTATCTTATCCTAAGAGATCAAAATATGCCACGCACGACACAGTCGAGTCAAAAACTAGTAGAAAACACTAAACAAGCAGATCTACGTGTAACAGACACACGGTGTGAGAAGACAACGCACAAGTGTGGAGGGATCAAAGTGAAGCCGGACCCTCTCGTTGTGATGACACGGATGAGTGGACATTATTCTCTCACGTACACACAAACACATATGGAAGATAGATCAATGTAAAGGGATTGTCAGGCAGTCCAAACATACAAACTGACCACAATCACGGTTATGTCAGCATCACTAAATGAGACATTTCTCACTTATTACAGAACAATGAAAATCTATTCAACAGCCACGTTTAAACCCGTCCAGACCGAAGCGCGACCGAATTCAATCAAGAACGAAAGAGACATTTATTAGCGATCATTTGGCTTATTAACTGATGGCTAAATTTGTATTGATCCTGAACAAGTCTCTTGGGTGTAGTGTTCTGCTAGGTGCCTGACAACATGTCGACCTTAAATAAACAAAGAGAGAAAAAAAAAAAAAAAACTAAATGCGACAAGACGCTCCGAGCTTACTGAAAAAGAGCAACCTTTCCCACGTTGTGTTTCAAAAAATAGCATGAGATCAGAAGAGGAAAAGGGACTGGGTCGAGAATATTAAAATCAGGAGTAGAAAAGTGCAGGCCTCGTTGACAACTTCATCCAAAAATATCTGTTAAGTACAAAAGTGTCAAAAGGAAAGGCGGTGAGAGAGAGAGAGAGCAGGCAGAAATCTGAAGAAGCCAGATGAAGACGTGTAGAGACAGACGGGCAGCCTGCAGAGAGGGCTGCTCCGAGTCCAAATGAAGGCCTGAAGAGAGATAAGACACTAGTTTCCTTCTAGAAGTTCACCACTGAGAGACCGTCTGAGCCTCAACTGTCTGCAGACCAGTTTCGATCGATTTCCCTCTGAAAATAAGTCATTGTCATTATTATTATTATTATTACTGTTTTCATTCTTCTTGACAGTTATCAGCAATATATCAACATTCGTATAGTATCATCTATTAATGCTTTTATTATGGTTCATCAAGTGTATGTGTGAAGGTTATTAGTGTATAGCCTTCCACTGCCTCCACCACAGCTGGTGCCGCACTCCAAAACTCTTTCAGTCTGGAACCCCGCCCTTCCCAGATATTTAACCCTTATCCCATTAGGAGAAGATACGGATGCACTGTGTGGTCGGAGTGTGACAGACGGGGCATTCGGGATCAGCTGACTGGCAGATTTGCCCGGCGCACTCCATGCAGAACAGGTTGTGGCCACAAGGAACCAGGGCTGCCGTCACCTCGCTCTCGAAACATACAAAGCAGTCCCTGTTGACTCCGGGGCCAACGCCAACCAGACCTGCAACCCCAGAGCCGCTTTTCAGACGGCTCAGCATCCCAGAGCTAAGACCCACGCCGCTGCCGCCGCCCTCGGAGTCAGTGGGCGAGCCACCAGGCAGGGAGGACGCCGAGCAGGAGGAGTAGCCGGTCGATGAGCCACCGGAGCTGGAGCTGGAAGCTCCTGAGAAGGAGCCGCCTCCTGTGCTACCAGACTGCAGCCAGGAGAGAGTGCTGAGGGGGTCGCTCTGGGCACGTCGAGCCAGTGGGTGATCCAGAGGGCTCACCCCTGTGTCCTGAGGCAGAGTTGGAGACAATCGTGGAGTGATGGCACCGCCGCTGAGGCCGCTGCTGTTGCGACGTAGAGGCTGCTGCTGTGAAGAGCCGGCCGCCTTACTTCCTGTTCCACCGTTGACAAATGGTGCCCAGATGTTGGAGGCACTGAACTCAAAGCCCAGTTCCTCCGAGGGAGGTAGCCCTGGGGTAGAGTCCCCCCCAAACGTGAATCCGCCTCCAGCACTGCTGGAGCTCGTGCTAAAAGGACTGGTGGGGCTGCCTCCATCGTTGGCCTTTCGGGTGGTGCTGAAGTTGTCCGAGCTCATTCCGCCATTGTGCGTGTGATAGGCGACTGAGGACATCTTACGACTGGAGGAGTGGTGCATGGACATGGGAAGAGGTGGGGGCGGGGAGGGAGGAGGGGGAGGAGGGGCAGAATGGTGGTTTGTAGCTCTGGACCAGAGAGATGCTCCTAGCCCTCCGCTCAAGGAGCCGAGACCTTCTAGACTGACGTCAGTGCCGTTGGTGTGGAAGTCATTGTCTCCCTGCAGGTCTACAAAGGTTCCAGTTCGCAGGGTGATGTGGGTCTCGATCTCCTCTCGCGCTCGGTCCACGTTCTCCGGCATCCCCGTCACCTCGAACACGGGGTCTTTCTCTCGGCTCGGGGTCACAATGTAGGTGTGAGTCTGCTGCTGGATGCGCTTGATTGTTGCTCCCTTTGGTCCAACAACCAAACCGACGACTCTGTAGGGCACTCTCACCTGGATCAACGACAGGAGACACGAGTTTAACAAGAGCACGACATTTGTGTGGCTGTGAAGAAATCCACCAATTCCTCTGAAAGTTTGCGTCTCCAAACCTGTTTCTGTACCTGAATGGTGGTCTGTCCAGGTAGGTGAGGTGGTCCAGGTAGTGAGCCGCCTCCTCCAGGACCTCCAGCTTTGCAGCGGGATGCTCGGATCATTGAAAAATGTTCAGCCGCGGATACAATTTCACGTTTGGCCATTTCCACATCCTCCCTGCGTCCTGTCACAATGAACACGGGATCCTCTCCTCTGACTGGAGTCTTGATGTAGGTGTTTGTTTTTGCACGGAGGGCCTTGATCTTACAACCTGACAGATTCAGAGAAACATAAAACTGTTTTATAGTCAAATTTATCTTTTAACAGATTAGAGCAAAACTACTTAAAAAAAGAGACATTATTTCCTGTATTCACCAATTTTTACCCACTTTCTTCTGCTATGGTCTTATGGTTACAGATGTTTATCCCCAGTTGTTTTACTTCTAATATCCAAGCATCTGCTTTTCCATAAGCATATATTAGGATTTACGTCATGGACTTAGTAGCAAAGCCAAAGACCGCAGCATGATTTTTGGGCACATTCTTGGTATGAGCCAAATGAAAAAGAGAAGCCCAGTGGCCTGAAGAAAGTATTTTGTCAGATTTGCAAAGAAAAAGTCTACCGAGTCAGAAACACGAATGTTATGTCCTTAGAATACAATTAATACGGTAAGTAAAAATTATATTCTTGATAATTTTGTGTACTTCACTCATAATGCAGCAGGTGAACACATTTTGTTAGTACTTCACAATAAAGGCTTCTTTACAAATGATTTATCAATGCATTATTATAAAGAGGTTATTCATGAGTTTGTAACCTTTATACAGCATTAATAGTTTATAGCAGGCTCACTATTTGGATAGATTAAATGCTGCACTTTCATTCATTTCCTCATAATTGAAATTTCAAATGCCAGATGTTTATTATTAGTAAATACTAAACAAGTTTAGAAAATGAACATTGAGCAACAAACATTAAATCACACTTACCTGGAGGAACACAAACACAGCTGCTTCCGTTTATGAACTGTGTTTTATAATCAATTGCTAAAGCTTTATAAATGGTTTGCAAACTCATGAATATGAAACATTTTTTAATCATTTAGAAAAAGGGACCTTTATTAGGATGAGGTGCACAAGTCGTTCTTAAACGCGTCACTTTATAGCAATACAACCTGAAGCTTAAAAATATGATTATTGTTCCTGTTAACTTATTATTCATATATGAATGTTTCTGTTCGGTGTCCTGAGATGACCTCTGTTGTGACTTGGCGCTATATAAATAAACTGAATTTAAACGTTCTTTATGGGCAAATTTATTTGAAAGTACAGTAAAGCAAAGCACCTGGCTGCTAAACTATACACCTAGGCAGTCGTGTATATCATAAAAATGGATAATACTTGGCTTTTTATGTATTTGACTGGGTATTGAAGCCATATCAACCCTGCCAACGCTCTTGTTAATGTGGTGTCTTTTTTAATAGCAGCTCATCATTAATCTAAATCAGAACAATGGAGAGATGTGTGAATCCAGGCAAAGAGAGTCTGCAGCAGAGCCAGTGTTGGCCCAGCAGCTCCCCATGCACCGCTCTCTGTGTCTTTAAATGAGCAGACTGCTCCGTCTTCGACCAATAGGACGCACGGAGCGTGATGTCATTCTGGGAAGCAGAAAGCATGGCTTTTTCAAACAAAGAGAACAATGCCGTAATGCTACCGCGGCAAAGCACAGCCCAGAATCTCAGCGCAGCTCAAGGAGACTGCATACGAACAAAAATTGAAAATAGATGTGTATAAAAATAAAAAGTCTTTGGGTGAGCTCGTAAAGAAACAGCGGCATCGGCCGACGGAGCTGGGTGCAGGGCGGTGCACCGCCCAGTCAGTGTTTGTGCGTCTGCTGCCCCGTTTCAGCCTGACAAAAAAAAAAATATATTAAAAAAATAAAAATAAACAAGCGACGACACGCTCCGTTGCCAGAGACGCGGATTCCGCGTGAAAACGAGCCGCTTCGCACGTGCGGCGCACGACGCGAGCACATTTCGCGACATTCCCTTTGTTTGGTGCAGGCTTCCAGACACGTCCAGACTCCCCGACAATCTGCCGCTTTGTCTGACCCTTTTCCACCCCTCCCCCTCCATCCTCCTCACCCGCCGCACTCACTCTCACACTCCTCTGTCACAGCTTTGTCTTTAAAAAAAAGAAAACGAGCGCAGAAAACACACAATCTGTGCTGCTGTTAATTAAATATCAGCGTCGTGTTGTTGTTCAAAGCACGCAGCGCCAGCACGCGCAGACGGTTTAAAGTTCAGGGGGGGGGATTTTCTCAGCAGAACACCCAAACAAAGAGTCACCAGCCTCCAGCACTAACACAACAACAACAACGAGCCTTACCTTGTCTCCCCACTATTTCAGCGACGTGCTCGGAGCTCGGGACAGGCACGCACTCAGTCATGTTCACGCTTCTTTTCCTGTTGCAGAGGACGGAGCTTTGTTCCCCGTGGAGCATGGAGTGAGACCCGGCCATGTGGTACCCGCCCGAGCCGTAGTACTCCGGGGAAGGGGAGCAGGAGGATGGCGAGTCCCGAGACCCGCTGGGGTGGTCCAGCATCTGGAGATCCACGTAGCCCCCTCCACCGACGCCGTTGCAGCTCTCAGAGCCCGGACCTTGGGTCCCGTCCAGAGCGTCCACAAGCCCGCCGCCTCCACCACCGCAGTCCACCTTGTCCAGGGCCATCAGTGACAGCTGGTCCAGGGCGAAGCGGAGCACCTCTTGGTGGTCCTCATCCCGGGACTCCGGGTCCGTCTCCCTGGGCAGAGCCACGCCGCCGTGCTGGCTGCTGATCATCACGTCGTGGTCAATGATCTCGGGATGGAATAAAGGGCTAGGCATAGTCCCTCCGTGGATCTCACATCAGATCACGGATGCCTGTTTTATTGGGAGTGATCTCACCCTCAACTGAAGTAAACAAAATAAATAAAAAGAGAATCATTATAAGAGCACCGGAGCTTCCATCAACAACAGCATGCATAATAGTGTTGCTCAGAGCGCCTCGCTTTGTCTGTTGTTGCTGCTTCTTGTCTGACAACATTCAGCAGCCTGCTGCCTGCGTGTCTGTCAGGTAACCTGTTTATTTTCCCCCCACGACAATAACGAGACAAAAAAAAATTAAAGCGTTTATTTAACTCCTTCCACCGACGTTTTGAAAATATACACGGGATAAATAATGAAAGCCGCTGTTAGCTTCAGGAGGAAAGCTAACAGGCTAGCTACACAGTCGGCGCACAGTCACGTTGTCGACCCCTTTGTTTGGGAGCACCGCGGCTAGCCGCTTAGCTCGGCTCTGACAGGAGAACTTCTGCTCCAAACAAATAAAAAACACTGTTGTTTTTTAAAAATCAAACAAGAGCCAAGGTATCGCCAACTTACTTTATCTGGCTTTCCAGGTCCCCTTTCCGCTCGTCTTCCAGCTCCTGAGGTGAAGACGGGAGGCAGCCGAGAAGGAGGAGGAGGAGAAGGAGGAGATCAGTGCAGCGCTGTGAGCTTAGCGCGAGAGCTAACTGGAAGCTAAATGGGGGGCGTTGAAGAAAAAAAAAAAAACCGTTAAAATCGAAAAGAGGGCAGCGTTGTTGTTGTTTCCTTCTCTCTCTTTTCTTGGAGTCAAAGCACACTCCTAGGAGAGTCGTTGCGTCTTCATTCTCGGTACCGCCAGTGGATGGGAGTTCCCTTTAAAAAAAACAGTGATTCTCGGTTCCGGGCTGCCCGCCTGACCCCGCTCGGTCCGCCGCCGCCTTCGTCTCTGCGCTTGCCGCCTGACCCAGCTTGGTCCGCCGCCTTTGTCTCGCCAGGCGCACGCGGCTCCGTCTGCCGCACACGGCAGTGACGTCAGACGCGGCACAACAAAAGGTTCAAAGGCCACAAGCAGCAAGCCGACAGCATCGAGCCCTCTGCTACTGCTGTGACTGACAATCTATTTTAGATTTCTGCGAAGCTTGTATTTTTCCATCCCTTTAAATCGCAGATACAGATGAAAAAAAAAAAAAACACATATACAATATAAACACATGTGGTCATGGATGGGTGTGTTCATCATGGCTACCAATGAGATGTTATCATCTCTGAATGATCTGTTGTTGCATTTACTTTCCAGTTATTTATTACTAACAATTCACAGAGGTGGAAAATTGTCAAGGTGGTACCTTATTATGGAGAATGCATTCAAAGAAATTGTTCCTAAGTTAACATATGTGAGTGTAATTAATTTAAACAAAGCTCATAATCACGTTAGTGATCTGTGTGAGCTCTCAACAACTTAGCTGCATTTTATATTGCAGATCTTCCATCCATCCATTATCTTTACCCGCTTATTCCATTTTGGGTTACGGGGGTCACTGGTGCCTATGTCCAGCAATCACTGTGCGAGGGGCGGGGGACACCCTGGACAGGTCGCAAGTCCATCACAGGGCCACACAGAGACAAACAAACATTCACTCTCTCACTCACACCTAGGGACAATTTAGAGTTACCAATTAGCCTAACATGCATGTTTTTGGTCTGTGGGAGGAAACCGGAGTACCCGGAGAAAACCCACGCATGCACGGAGAGAACATGCAAACTCCACCCAGAAGGCCCCTGGACCGGGGTTTGAACCAAGGACCTGCTCGCTGAGAGGCAGCAGCTCTACCAGTTGTGCCACCGTGCTGTCCTTATTGCAGATCTTATTGTTCCATATTTTCCTTACAGACCACTTCACTCTCAGACTGCAGGCTTACTTGTGCTAGAGTTTCCAAAAGCAGAAAGGAAGGCAGAGTCTTATTATCAGGCTCCTCTCTTGTGGAACCAACTTCCATTTTCTGTCCATGAGGCTGACACGTTGTCTACTTTTAAAACTAGGCTCAAGTCTTTACTTTTTGATAAATCCTATAGTTAGGGTTGGCTTGGGCTTCCTGACCTATACCTTATAGTTATGCTGGTATAGGCTTAGACTACTGGAGGGCAAATTGACCTCATTTAATCAAATGAATAGTTACAATTGAATACAAATGAATAATTTGTATTTCTTTCTACCGTTACATATGTTGTTGTTTTTTCCTCCTAGTGAGGACCTGCTCGCCTCCATTCTGGGCCTGTCATTCTGTGTCCGTTTCTCCTCCCTGTCCTCTTAAACCCAGGTCGAAGCAGATGGCCGCTTGTCTTGAGCCTGGTTCTGCTGGAGGTAATGAAGACTCAGACACGTCTGCTGGCTTCCTCCCTTCCTTTGATATACTGTATAACTTTACTAATTGGCATTCACAATGTATCTTGGGACTATATAAATAAACTGAATTGAATTGTTTCTCATCCAAATAAAAGAGTACTTTAAAAAGGTTCAATCCTTTCCTTATCAAGTTCAAGTAGGTTTTATTGTCATTTCACCACAGGTGGTGCATGAGGTGGAACAGTTACATCCAGCAATAGCAAAAATGTAAAGTGTAAAAAGAAACAGTGAATAAGGATCTAAGATATACTAAATGAATGCCAAACTGTACGTTAAAAGATCTAAGATATACACTAAACACTAATAATGCAAAACAATACAGCAGTACAAACAAGTCTGAGCAGATGAATGTGGTCCCAGCAGTTCTGGCAGAGCCACTGTAGTGAACCTGATCTGGCCTGATCTGACCCTGATGACCTCAAATCTATCAGATGGACAGAGACTGTTATTTTCATTGATCTGAAAACAGTCTGAGCCATCTGGTGACTTTCTTTCTTGAATTAATCAAGCAGAAAAGACAATTCTTTATAATCATTACTGTCTTACAAATGTTTGATAATCAAATTGTGTTAGTTTCACTCAATGCTTACAGGTTGAAAAGAACTACTCATTTTTATTTTACATAAACAGTAAGTAATGATTTTTATTCCTCATTCAAAGAAGAAATCAGGTTAATATGCATTTCTTGATTTTCTGTCTGAAATGAGCCAAGTCGTAAGTATGTGAAAGTTGAAGCTTCGGTCAACTAAATGTTTACTGAAAAAGGGATGTCATGTTTTACTATTTGGAAAGATACAACAGAGTGAGGCTCCAAAAAGTCTGGTATTCTGCAATAATCTTTTCTGTATGTTGAAAACAAATTCATTCCCTGACCTCGACTTTTGATAATACCTTACGTCAAAAACCACACCTCTTTCTGGTACATCCACGAATCAGAAAGCTCTAAATTGAACCGGAAGTCGACCCATTTAAAATGTGGCAACTTCCCAGTTCAAGTTAGTTCTCAAGGAGTTCTGAGGAGAATTGGTTAGAATTCATGGGGAATTCATGAAGAATGGTGAAGTGAATGGAAGAGAATTCGAGAATTCAGGAGAGTCAGAGACGTTTGGAATTATAACTTCTGTTTGAACAACCCACGCACGACTATCTAAGGATTTCAGCAGCTCTCAACGGAGACGCTGAAAGGTCTGGAGGATTCTCTATCGAGCTGATCTATCATCACCAGGTAACGGTCTCTTCTTCGACTAAAGTGTACCGGAGGCGAGCTGAGATCTGATGAAGCGTGCACGTTCTGGTCAACAGATATTAATTCCCTCACATAGTTCTCTGTAAGGAAATCTCCATTTCATCTTAAACTCTTCTCTCTCTCACAAAACCAGTACAGATATTTTAGAAATATCTGAAGCAAAGTCCTCGTTCACCGCCGAGTGATCGATGCTCATTTTCTGTGAAACTTGTCTGTTATTATTTTCATATTTTGCCAAATTAATGTAAATGTTTGATGTTAAACTTTGATTCTGAAAATAAATGACCACATTCATTTTGATGGGTCAAAGATAATAACGTCTCTCGTTACATTTTTGTTAAAATTCAATGCACGACTTACACAGTCAGAAAGATGAGGAACTCGTGAAATTGTATGCATATATATTTCATATATTTGTCATACTACAACTAGTGACACGTACCCACGTGACTCACTACACCAACGTGAAGGTGAAGCTAACAAAAATCCTTCTTTTACATTATTAAACTTGATTCTGTAAGATATGTGCATTTTTGGAACCTAGATTTTACAAAGCATACAGTAATTTCACCAATTTTTGAGATAAATAGCTATTACAAAAAAAAAAAAAAAAAAAAAGGAATCACTAGTATAAGCCATCTCAAATTATTGACCTTCTGTAACAAGAAATGAATGACAAGCTTGATTATGTTAATATTTTCATCTGGAAAGCGGATCTTTAGCCATTTGTATAGGTGCTGGTCATAAAATTAGAAAATCATGAAAATGTTGATTTATTTCAGTAATTCCATTCAAAAAAATGAAACTATTATATTCATTCATTATACAGACAGATATATTTCAAATGTTTATTTTAATGTTGATGATTATAACTGACAACTAATGAAAACCCCAAATTCAGTATCTCAGAAAATTAGAATATTACTTGAGACTAATAAAAATAAAAGGATTTTTAGAAATGTTGGCCACATGAAAAGTATGAGCATGTACAGCACTCAGTACTTAGTTGTTGCTCCTTTTGCCTGGATTACTGCAGCAATGCGGCGTGGCATGGAGTCGATCAGTCTGTGACACTGCTCACGTGTTATGAGCCCAGGTTGCTCTGATAGTGGCCTTCAGCTCTTCTGAATTGTTGGGTCTGGTGTATCGCATCTCCCTCTTCACAATACACCACAGATTTTCTATGGGGTTAAGGTCAGGTGAGTTTGCTGGCCAATTAAGAACAGGGATACCACAAGTCCTGTTGGAAAATGAAATCTGCATCTCCATAAAGTTAGTCAGCAGCAGGAAGCATGAAGTGCTCTAAAACTTCCTGGTAGATGACTGTGTTGACCTTGACCTCAGAAAACAGCAGATGACATGGCATCCCAATCACTGACTGTGGAAACTTGACACTGGATCTCTCCTCTCCTCCTCCACTTTGGGACCTTGATTTCCAAAAGAAATGCAAAATTTACTTTCATCAGAGAACATAACTTTGGACCACTCAGCAGCATTTCCAGGCAAGACACTTCTGACACCGTCTCTTGTTCAAGAGTGGCTTGACACAAGGAATGCGACAGCTGAAACCCATGTCTTGCATACGTCTGTGCATGGTGGTTCTTGAAACCCTGACTCCAGCTGCAGTCCACTCTTTGTGAATCTTCCCCACATTTTGGAATGGATTTGTTTTTCACAATCCTCTCTCTCCAGGGTGCGGTGATCCTTATTGCTTGTACACTTTTTTCTACCACATCGTTTCCTTCCCTTTGCCTCTCTATTAATGTGCTTGGATACAGAGCTCTGTGAACAGCCAGCCTCTTTAGCAATGAACTTTTGTGTCTTGCCCTCCTTGTACAAGGTGTCAATGGTCATCTTTTGGACAACTGTCAAGACTGCAGACTTCCCCATGATTGTGTAGCCCACAGAACTAGACTGAGAGACCATTTAAAGGCTTTTGCAAGTGTTTTGAGTTAATTAGCTGATTAGACCACCAGAGGTCTAAATAGAGGTTTTAAATTGAAGACCAGAGGTCTTCAATATTAAACCTTTTCACAATATTCTAATTTTCTGAGATACTGAATTTGGCATTTTCATTACTTGTCCGTTATAATCAACATTTAAAGAAACAAACATTTGAAATATATCAGTCTGTGTGGAATGAATTAATATACAAGTTTCACTTTTTGAATGGAATTACTGAAATAAATCAACTTTTTCCATATTCTAATTTTAGGATCAGCACCTGTATGAGGTCAGGAGTTAACAGAGCGCTAAAGATAGCTGGTCGTTTTCTTATGGCCCCTTTTATGATCAGACAGGTGAAAGTTGGAAGCTATATACATTTTTACAGATACAGAACATTACTTGCATAAGATACTGCGACTCTTCAGTACTCCTGTTATATTCTAGAGTGTACAGTAAACATCTTCAAATGGTTTCTACTGAGATCAAATTTTCAGGAACAACTTGGAGACAAGTTTAGGAAATAATAATGAACTGGGAACCAATGTTGGTCAAGAGGTGGAACCATCACTAAAAGAATTCCTATTGAATTGCTTTTAATTGGTTTTAACCGCCGTCTTCGTGGCTGCTACATTTGCCATATTCACACAAAAAGATGACACATACTTCATCATATAAACTGCATTTATTTTACAGTAATAGTGGTACAAGAACACAATCTTCAATGAAATACAGTACAATGGTTTGTACAGCTTTTGTTGATATTGTATAATCCAGATCTTTAAAGTAGTTGGCAAATCAACACAGAAAATTACTTTAACACAAATGCGAGGAATCAAGTTTTATAACCTGGAATTATTGTAACAAAGTCCTTATAATGTCTGTAAAACTGGGATGTTTGCTTCTTCACAGCCACCTAAATGCTGCGTTTACGGTATATACAAATACTGCAGTTTTTTTTTTTTTCTTTTAAACTAAACACATTGTGTGATACACTTCTTGCAGTATCAGTAAATATATAGGAGCACAAACTGGGAGAAAGGTTAAACTCGTACTTCAGAGAACCAATATAAACATCACAACAAACATTCACATGTATGAGGTTTGCATCTTCAGTAAAAAGCTTGAACAACTGGTAACTAAATGTAACACTGCATCATACTGAGCACCTTCCACAGCTGCCTTACATTAGTAGAGGTAAAAAAAACAACTTAAAGCACCCTTTAAGGATTACACTACAAGGTGTAAAAATATACATCAATAAAGACTACTGTCTTTGTTTAGGTTAGAAAAATCTGTATAATGTCTCCATTGAAACTCTTTTTCAGTGTATAGAAAATCAACATGAAACCTTTCGTTTAAATATCTGAGTTTACCAGCACTCTTCATCTCCAACAAACCTGGAGAATGGACGGGATAGACGTTATTCATTTAGAAACGCACTTCAGATTACATTTCAACTCAAATTGTTGTATTTGATGAATCAAATGGTTATTTTAGAGTCTATGCTGTGTTTCACTGTACCTCAGCTATACCTCCTCCTTCATCAGCGGCTCAGCCTTCTTCTCTAGTTTGTCGACAGCATCATCTGCAAAGGTGTCCTCCACCTGAGCCAGTGAGTCAGCCATCAGGGCCTCCTCTAGCCGTCGTCTCACATTCTGCACCAGGTCCTCCTGCTTCCTGAGGCGCACACACACAAAGAAAAACAGAGTTACTAACTATATGATGCAACTGAGAGATCAGAAGTTGTTAAAGCATAAGTTGCCATGGTGAGTGAGTCAGGCTGAGACATTAGGCTCATCGTAGTTAATCTACACATGGCTTACAGGGCACCTGTCAGGGGTATACCTGTACATGCTTTCCTTTTACAGCTGTGTGTGAGACAGTGAACCCTGTGAACCTGGCTCACTGCTGATTTCAGAGCAGGAGAACTGGTTGAGTCACAAATAACTGTATCAATTAGCTAAACTGCAAATCAAAACCTGCTATTCTTTCAACTAAATCCCAAAAATAATAATAACGATGAACACTGACAAAACTGAACAACGAGTTAGACTTAATCATATAGATTAAAAGACTAAAATACCCACACTGTTACCATCAATATTAAAAACATTTTCTTTGGTAAACCTCCTACAGCCAGCTAGAAACTAATGTGCGTTGAGAGGATTTTTAAATTTAAAATATAAGGCAAACAGGTTCATAGAAAGCAGAACACCGTCTTTGTTCAAACGAGCATCTTCAGGTTGTGCTTTGCAGGACTCAGGGTTACGCTTTACAATGAAGAAGCAAGAAAAAGTGAGGGAATAAACATGACTTGACTGAAACTAATGCCATCATTTGTTCCATTCAACAAATTTTTAAATGCAGACAGAAAAATAACTCAAAAATAATAATTTTACGGATTATTAGATGGCTACAAAGTCATGATCTTTTATTTTACAGATCAAGTGTTTTCAGTTCGTTTCCTGATACATTTCTCCTCAACATGATACTCTAAGCGCTTTACAACACAATCTGTGTCCTCATTCACCTCCACACACACATTCATACAGCACTCTACGAGATATCTACAAAGCTAACTGAACAAATCATTCTATAGACTAATCAGTGCTTTAGTTCACATTTATACATCGATGGAACACACACCAGAGGCAATGAGGGGTTCAGTGTTTTGTCTAGGGACACTTCAACATGTGACTGGATGGTGGTGGAATCAAACCCCCAACTCTCCCATTAGAGGACGCCTGCTCAAACTACTCAGCCACAGCTGCCCGGGCCCCTATATGTAATCTACTATATCAGAGTTTCTTTATTTGTCATTTGCACCACATGTGGTACATGAGGTGGAACAAAATTGTGTAAACAGGGTCCCAGATACATACAACAATAAAATGTAAAAAAAAAAAAAAAACCTGTAATATGATCTAAGATATATGTATATATCTATATGTAACATTTCCCAATAATAATTCTACTGTATTTACCTGTAGTTAGTTAAGAACTGACAGAACAGCATTGTGTACAGGAACTATCACAACCTCATACTGTAGGAGACAAGCGTGTAATCTACAACATTCGTGCAGCGTCTCCTGAGATAATTATGCATTTTTAAAGTTTTGATTGGACTTTAGAAGCCCAGACAGTGAGACCGCGAGTGGGTTTGCAGCCTGCTAGAGCACATCAGACTAATTCACTGTAACATTTTACAGTCAGTACATGTGGGTAAGTTGTGTCCACACTTGATGACCCCAGCAAAGAACACTCAGTGAAAATTGCTGTGTGCACCCTGATTTTACGTTGCCATCAGCGATGATCAAAGCCAGAGCTGATTATAAACCACGACTAAAGCAATCAGATGCCGATTGAACACATTAATATTCTACAAAAGCCAGATGTTAACTGTTCGCAGGCTTATTGATCACTAGAGAAGCAGCACTTGGTCTAAACATCTTCCAAGGCTTTTCTCCACCATGTCACTGTTATAACATGAAAAATGAGTATCTGATCAACTGCTTGGTAGAAAAGAAGCAGATTCACTCTATAATTTCCATCTGAACACTGCAGTAAACTCTTTCAAACTGCACCCTTTAATATAGTTCAGGCTTTCATTTTATATTTTGTAGCGTGTAATTTAAACTCTTACAATGCAAGAACTTTCACTTGGGAAACCAAACTACAATTTGGACACTTTTAAAGAAATGTAAATGTCGCTTAGTGTAAATGCACAACTTTGTTGCCACTATTTTGCATTGTTTATGTTGCCAGAAAAACATTTCAGCATCAACTAAAAGGAACAGATAAGCTCTAAGGCACATACTACTAGAACTACTATATAAACCTTACATTGAAATACACTGAGAGTAAGAGATGCTAAAGTCAACTGTATAATCATGTTTGGTGCTTACTTTCTAGTTATAAACAGGACTATATTCACAAGTGCAAAGTTTTGACGAAGACTTAGTAACACAGGAAACTCAATATGTTGCTCTACGACTCCTGAATGTAGGTACAACCATAAACTTTACTGATAGTTTTCAAATATGCATTATGAAAGAAGCCACAAACAACATTTAAAATACAATTCTCTGTATTTATAGCACTGATCAGGCCTACCTGATGTCCTCATCAGTCACTACAAAAGCTTTGCAGAGAGGTTGTGCCGTGTTCAGCCAGACTCCAGGATTTTTCTCCACTGCAGCAGTGAGTTGGCCGGTGATGGGAGCAGGGCTGGTGTGCAGGGCACTGGCGATGGCAGAAAGCAACGTTTTGTCTGAACACGCAGGCCCAACACCTAATCAAGGGGGGCAAAAACAGACAAAGGTCAGCCTAGGACAAGTCTCATTTCATCTATACCTACAGTTGTGTTTTTAAGGTTACGCTCACCCTGCAAGCCTTTGGGAAGATCCATAGTTTTCACCAGCTCTTCTGCGATGTCAAATGCATTTAACCCACTCAGCTTTCTCTCCCAGAACAGCTAATGAGACACACAAAACACAGGTCAGGAAGACTTTTAATAATATACGGCATGTACAAGTATCCATGGATTAAAACAAAAACAATGTTTCGATTTAAATTTTTCTACACTCAGTGGTTACCAAAGTGATGTATACTTGCAGAGTTTAAATTATGGTAACTTCATTTTTTTTAAATTTTGCCTTACTGAACGATTTCCTTGAAATTATCATTTCATTCAAAGGGATTATATTTAGACTGGTAGAGCTGCTGCCTCTCAGCGAACAGGTTACTCTGGTTCAAATCCTGGTCCGGGGGCCTTTCTGGGTGGAGTTTGCATGTTCTCTCCGTGCATGTGTGGGTTTCCTCCCACAAACCAAAAACATGCATGTTAGGCTGATTGGTAACTCTAAATTGTCCCTAGGTGTAAATGACAGCGTGAATGGTTGTTTGTCTCTATGTGGTCCTGTGATGGACTGTAGACCTGTCCAGGGTTTACCCCGCCTCTCGCACAGTGACTGCTGGACATGGGCACCGGCGACCCCCACATCCCAAAAAGGAAGAAGCAGGTAAAGATAATGGATGGATGATATGGATTATATTTACAGGATTTCAGCTCATATTTGATCATTTACTAAATTATATTTATCACATCCAACATTTTTCAGTCCGGTCATCTGGACAGTTAACTTTTTTTGTGCTGAAACGTTTCACCTTTGATCCAGAAGGCTTCATCAGTCAAGGAAACACACAACACAGAACTGATTCTTCCCCCAACAGCTTACTCCAAAGTGGAACAAACCAGTTATGTTGGTGCTAACATGGTCTCTTTGTCATGCCCCCTCCTCCATTGCCGGCCCTCTTC